ACCATTTGTGCACAACATGGCACTTGTAATACTTTGATATTTTTCAGCTGCTGATGGAACATGGTATGATGATCGACTACCAGCCAGCCTCAGAAGCATACAAATGAGTTTTAGAGCTGTACCCTCATTAGGAGATAATAGAATGAGTTGCCTAGTCATAAAAACAGAGGCACAAGCAAAACCCATGCATTAAGTCAAGAAGATCCAGCATTCAACATCCTAAACTAGAAACAATGTATTAAAAATACATCTGCGCCAGCCTAATGGATGAAGTATTAACAATGCCATGTTGCGCATGGATGGTGTCCCTGTTTGTACTTTTGGTGTGCATCTCCAAGGTCACATTGGAGCCCTTTGTTACGGCTTAGTTTTATAAATAGTAATGAAACAATTGCTTGGGCTATTAAACAGTGTACTGAGCACTGTCTATGCTTTGAGTCAAGTTAATTAACAAATTTAAAAATTAATAAAGTACCAAAAACTGTAAAATGCAAAAAACCATCGTCGACACCAAGTTCTCTAAACCTATCATTCACTAATATTTGTGGTCTTTGAAGTAACTTTTCTTCTGTTGAGTCTTATCTCTTGCAAAGTTCACCAGACCTAGTTGGTCTTTGTGAGACTAATTTGAGTTCAGCTGTCTGATCTTGTGATTTTAGTGTTGATGGTTATCTTCTTTTAATTTGTAAAGACTCCAATAATCACATGCTTCGCCTAGGTATTTACATTCGTAAGAATTCACCCATTTGTCGGGAAACTAGGTTTGAATCCAGAGACTATTCTTGTATGTGCTTTCTTTTAGCACCACTTCACTTTATCGCCTTTCTCTCCTTCAACTCAAGACTGCTTCTTTATTGCTCTCCTTCAACTTAAGACTGCACTCTTTTTGATGTTATTCCTGATCAAATTGACCAAGCCCTCTCTCTTTATCCATCATCCAATATTGTTGTTGTTGATAACTTTAATGCTCATCACACTAAATGGCTTGGCTCTAGTGTCAGTGACTATGCAGGGATTAAAGCCCACAACATTTGTCTGCCCCTTGTCCCAACCATTGTCAATCCCTAACTCAAAAAGTCAACTTTCCAACTTGCTTTCCAGACAACCTGAATCATTTACCTTCTCTGCTCGACTTATGTCTTGTTTCTGATCTTAGTCAGTGCTCAGTTTCTTCACATTCACCCTAAGGTGCTTCTGATCACAAATTGATCTCTCTAAAGTTTGATCTCTCTAAAACTATTATCTCACTCTTCTCCATGGTTTTCCTCACATTGTGCTGCTGCAATGTCCAATCGAAATTGTTACTTCCATATTTATCATCAAAACAATTCTCCAGAAAACAGACATCTGTTCATTACTGTTAGAAACCATTGTAAAAAGGTTTTATCTAATGTCAAAGCCCACTATTCTCAGGTCATAAAATCTTGTATTTCATCACAAAAATTTTGACATCTGGAGAATCTTTAATAGTATCAATAATAAGGGCAAATCTGTAATTCCACCTCTCTTATATAGTTCAGACTTTGTCATCTCACCTAATGACAAAGCTGAATTGTTTGCTAAGAATTTTTCATCAATATCATCCCTTGATTCCACTAGTTGCGTTCTACCTGATATAGCCGTCACACAGGTTGATCCATTGCTTGACATTCGCATCACTCCAGCTTCTGTATCTAAAGTGATTTTCCTGCTTAGACTCTTCTACAGCTTGTGACCCGAACAACATACCTGTTATAGTCTTGCAGAAAAGTTTTTCAGAGCTGTCGTCTATACTTTCAAAACTATTCAACAAGTGCTTATTGGAGTCTTCTTTTCCAGCCTGCTGGAAAGCAGCATCTGTTATTCCTATTTTCAAAAATTCTGGAGAGCAATCTGATTCATTTAACTACCGTCCCATTAGTCTTCTTCCTATCATAAGCAAAGTTTTTGAATCTTTAATTAATAAACAATCTCTCATCTTGAATCTAATAACTTGATTTCTGATCATCCATATAGATTTCAATCTTCTTGTTCTACAGCTGGTTTGCTAACAGTAATAACCGGTAGGTTTTATTGTGCATTAGATAAAGATGGAGAGGTTAAGGCCATCACTCTTTACATTTTTAAAGCTTTTGATAAAGTTTGGCATGCTGGTCTTCTCCATAAGCTTTCTTCTTACGGTGTATCCTAAACATCTTTAAGATTATTGAATTCTTCCTTTCCAATTGTAGTATAAAAGTTGTCCTTGGCGGACAGCACTCTTATTCATATCCTGTAACTTCAGAGGTTCCTCGATGTTAAATCCTTGGCCTTATACTCTATTTAATTTACATCAACGATCTTCCAGATGTTCTCACACCTAAGGTGGCATTGTTTGCTGATGATACTACCATTTATTCTTGTCATGATAATGTATAATCATATTTTGTTGCATGTATTAGTAATTTTAGTGCCCAAAAATTCATTTTGAAGAAAGTTACAACTTGTAGGACTTTTTCAGAGCAGTAAAAAGTCTTTCGAAAAAATCATGTCAAAAAAATATATATATATATATAATAAAATTTTTTATTTGGTTTCTTATGTTTTGGAGGACAGTGTATGTTATATTTATCTTTTAATTAAAAAATTTAATTAAAAAAAAATGATTTTTGTATATATGTTTAATATGTAAATATATATATGCATATATTTAATGCATATATAAATACATACAGTGATGTAGGCAGGATTTTTTATTTTTCAGTTATGACACTTTCAGGAATTGTGTTAATTTCAAACTTAATTCATGCTTATGTTAATTGAAAATTTTTTGCAAAAAACTGCGGTAATTGGAGTATAGCAAAAAAAAAAAGTTTCAAAAAGTTAATGATTTAATTATTATTTTTTTGCATATTACGCACAGTTTAAAAATTCTGAAAGTAATACTAAGGAAATACCCCGAAAATGTATTCTGGGTGGCAATTCTAGATACATCTTGAGGTCCATTGCAAGTGATTTTGAAATCTTTTTTTTTTAATTAATGGTAATTTATGTTATCGTATGTTTTGTTTTTCCACAAAATGAGGATCAAAACTTTGTCCTACAAAAAAAATCATTTAATATAAATTGATTTTTAGGCCTCGGAAATTAAAAAGTATTTTGCTTTAAAAGAAAAAAAAACTCACTCAAGTTAAGTAAAAATTTAAAAAGCAGCTACAAAACTTTATGTTTATACTTTATTTTCTTTAAATTTATGACAAATATTGTTTGATACATCACACATAATTTGCATGTAGCTCCATTGGTGGAATAGCTTCTAATACAAGCTTTTGGTCAAGAAGCATCAACAGTACTAGATGCACTATGTTTTGGAAGACTTTTGATTTTCTCAAATCACCACCTAAGCTGACCAGCTCTTTTTGGTTGTTTCTTATACCACCAAAAGTTCTCAGGCTTCCACAGTTTAGGAGATTTTTTGACTTAATGTCTCACCAACAGCAAGAGTGCCTGCTGCTATGAGGTTGTATCCCACACATATTTGCAACTTCATATTACATGAGTCAACTAGGGAGTTTTTGGCACACTTTTCTTGAACCAAGAATGGACTTGACATTGTCATAGGTCTTTAAGATTTCTTTAGAAATAGCTACTAGCATTTTTTGCTTGACACTGTTAATTTTTGATGATGTAGGTGTCATCAATCTGACAGTTTTCTGAAGTGGACTTTGAGACTCATCTTTATTTTGAACCATAATGAAGGTAAAGCTTACTTTTAGAAATTTTCCTCCTCCAACTATTCCAAGTTTTGCAACAGCAGAGTCTTGCTTTCATTGAGCTGAATACTTGTCACAGCTGCCATACTCTTGGAGTTGTTTAAAGGCTTTTCATAGGACTTTAGTTTTCATAGGACTTTAGTTTGCTTATTTGACAAATTAAGTAGTCACATGTTGTAGTCTTTTTGATGGCTTTGTTAAAAATGGTTCAAAATTGAAAAACTGAGGAACAGTCTTTGTTTGTCTTCAAGTTTCCTAAGTTGTATTCTTCAGTTGTTATATATTACCAAAGGAACTCTGTCATATTTGAAGTTAACATCCTTTTTTATAACTTGTTTAATGCTTGTCAAAAAGTTCACTGTAAGTTCTCTGTTAGCTTTTCTCATGGAAACTATACAAGCAGTTCTTCTGCAGTCTTTTTGCTGAATTTGGCATTTTGATTTTGTATTTTTATCACTTGTTTTTTTTATCACAGTGTTTTTGCTGAATTTGGCATTTTGGTTTTGTATTTTTATCACTTTTTAAAAAGAAAATTGATGTTGTAAAACGTTAATACCTCACAAAAGCGCAAATTTGTATAAAGTAAAAATGTCTTTTATAATTTTTCAATAACTCATGGTATTTCGTTAGTATTAATTTCGGTTTTATATTTCATCTGATAGTGTTTTGAAACACTTATTTCTCTTAATGTTTAAAAGTTATGACCATATAAAAGTTTTGATCATGTAAAAGTTATGACCATGTAAAAGTTTTGACCATGTAAAAGTTATGACCATGTAAAATTTACAACCCCTTCATTTTGGGCAACGCAAAAGTTTTGCATTGTCATAACTTGTGAACGTTAAAAGTTTGAATTTGAAACTTGTAGTTGAATACGCTAAAAAATAAGTCTTAATTAATTTTTTTTTCTTTGCATTCAGGAAAAAGGGAGTCAATATTTTTGGATTTATTAATTGCCAGTCTCTAAATACCGCGATTTTTTTTGAAAAAATTCCTCATTTAACATAAGCATTAACATACCTAAGTATAAAGATTATATAATGCCTTAAAGTGTCATATTTAAAACATCAGACAATCTTAGCTACTAATCTTAGTATATATATATATATATATATATATATATATATATATATATATATATATATATATATATATATATATATATATATATATATATATATATATATATATATATATATATATATATATATATATATATATATATATATATATATATATATATATATATATATACACACACACTTTCAGGATGATGGTTGGCTCATGGGTGTAATGGACTCGAATGGGTTGAAAGGAGTCTTCCCCGAAAATTTTTCAAAGAGATACGATGCGTAACAGTTTACTTAAGCAATTATATTTCATTTATTGTTTATAAATTGCACTATTATCTCATTTTCTATCTTTTTTTATCCTTAAAAAATCATTATTTGTTTGAAGATTTGTTTTAGTTTTTAATAGTTGCGTAAGTTTAGTTTTTAAATCGAAAATGCCGATTTTCTTTTACATATATTTTAATTTTTCAAGTTTTGGCTTGTTAATGCAAAATAATTTTAGTTTAGAAATATTTTTCTTAAATCTTTTTTTATTGTTTAAAGCATAAATAAGCCTAAAGGTTTAATGTAGAAGTCGAGTTTTGCCATTCATATAAGTTTCTGTTAGCCGTTCTTTTTTTTTTTTTTTTTTTTTTTTCTCTAAACTTTACTTGTGATTGTTTTAATTTATATAAATTAGTTAATAAACTTTTTTCAGAGTAAAATATCTTTGTAGTTTTTATTTTGCTTAAAGTTTCCTTAGAGTTTTTAAAGATCTCTTTTATAATATATATTAACTAAGTTTTTATGTTGGTTTAAAATATATATATATATATATATACTCATTTATAAATACATATTTACACATACACACAAAAATTATACATTCACACAACCAAGAGTGTGTTAGGTAATTTGTATATTTAAAAAAAATTTTCTTAAGTATTTTTTTGTGTATTTGATCTTTTGTGTTTTTGTGTTTCAAAGTCGTTCCTTGGAAACAGTTTTTTCAGCAGCGGTTTTATAAAAAACATTTTAAAAATTTGGTTTCTTTTCTTTTTGCTGTCGTTCTAATTAGTGTGATCAATCTTTTTAATTCATACTATTTATCTCCATTACATACTATTTATCTCCATTACATACTATTTATCTCCATTACATATTTGACATATGGTTTTGAGTATGTATGTAAGTATTTGATGATGATAATTTTTATTTCTGATATAATCTATATAAAAAATTTCTATACAAATGTTGCGTTATTTCGACTTTTTAGCTGATACACGATTAAAAAAAACTTAATAAAAAATGCATAATTAAAAAGAAATGCATATTTTAAATGTTATGCAAACTTACAATGTTTTGACTTTGACAATGACAAAAACGTTTTTCAATAGGCAAGAATATCCGATAACTTCTTACAGTTCTCTTATAGCTTTGATTGTTAGATAGAACTTAATAAGATTATTTCTTGCAAGTATTGTTTAGTTACTTTTTAAAGAAATCACCAGGACTCAAATAGAAATAAGAATATTGGGGTTGTTAAGGCGTTCCGTGCGTGCGTCTAACATTGACGCTAAAATCCGTATTTTTTTTACTGATATTTTTATTTATATAAGTTTATTTCTCAAGTGTTTGTTTATATGAAAGCAAAGAAATTTATATTTCTTATAATAGACATTTTTTGCAAGCAATATGAAAAGTTATTTAGATTAATTTGTAAAATATCCAACAGATTGTTGTTTATGTTATGAATTGTTTGTTTTTGGTTAAAAGTACAACAGTTATTTTAAAAGCGAAAACGTTTTCAAATAAAGTTGAGTTGGCAATGAAATTTTGTATATGAAGAAAGTTTAGTGACAACAAGATAAATTAAGTATGCGTTTTAATCGATTACATTGATTTCTATTGTGTATTTGTTATTATTAAAAAATGCAAATATGTTAATACGCAGATATTGGTATTACTGTTTCATTTTAATGCTGGTTATTTGTCATTGCGTTCTTGCGAGGAGCGTAATTTCTATTTCATTCATAAGTTTTTTTTTTATTAGGCATAAAAAGTTAAAATAAAGTTACACATTCGTGTCATAAACGAGTGACACGCGCATTTTTTTCGGTAAGTACGATCGAAATTTAGACAATTTTTTTAAAACGCACGTTTAGTCAATTTAAGGATAGTTCAGATTTGTGCCTTATTATGTTATAATACATTTCAAAAGTTTTTGAAAAGTTAAATGACGTTGGCATTTCTGAGAATAAAAAAACTGCTTTGTTATTTTATGATTTTTAAAAAAACAATAGTTAGCGTATATGTATTTATTTACGCGTAGTCTTTTATGTTTTGATGTCAGAATTTTTTTTTGTCATTGATTGCATTTTTTAGAATTTTGTTTACCAAGCTTCTCGGAATATGTATAGAAATTTACCTATATGTTTAATATTAATTAAAACTTTTTTTGTCTTTTTTATTTAATACAATTTGTCATCTTGTGTTATATTTTTTTGTTACTTTCAGGTTTAAAAAAAAAAAACTTTGTAATGTTGAGCAAACAATATGAAACTCTATTTTGATGTTATTATTATCGTATTGGTTGTCGTTATTTTCTTACTGTTTTTCGTCTTATTTAAAATCTACAAGCTTCATGAAAAATCTACCGACGAAATTGATTTGGCTGAACAACAAGAACTATTATCTAATATTTCAGGCTCTAAAGACAGCTCCTTACTATCATCTGATCCTGGATTTTCTAGTATAGTTCATAGTTTTGAGACTTTAAATGATATTCAAGGAAAGCAAGAGATAGAGATAGACATGGTTCAACCAAATGTTCAGGTTACTATATATATATATATATATATATATATATATATATATATATATATATATATATATATATATATATATATATATATATATATATATATATATATATATATATATATATATATATATATATATATATATATTTATATATATGTATATATTTATATATATATATATATATATATATATTTATATATATGTATATATATATATATATATATATATATATATATATATATATATATATATATATATATATATATATATATATATATGTATAAGTATATATATATATATATATATATATATATATATATATATATATATATATATATATATATATGTATATATATATATTTATATATATGTATATATTTATATATATTTATATATATATATATATATATTTATATATATGTATATATATATATATATATGTATAAGTATATATATATATATATATATATATATATATATATATATATATATATATATATATATATATATTTATTGTTTTGTAACTTTATATTATATTGTATATGTTTTTAGTTTTGGTTTTTATAAATACCCTTGTTTTTCAAAGATTTTGAAGATAATAAGTCTTGGTTTATCTTCAAAGGATTTTAAATATAAGAAATAGAATTCTATTCTGAATGAATGTATCCAAATACTCTTACACTAACGTTAAACAATTTTTAAGAAAAATAAACTACCATTAATAAAAAAATTCTAACGCGAATGCATATTAGGCCGGGCAAATAAAAAAAAGCAATTGTTTTTACTCAGCGTTTTTGGAATAATTGTTCAGAATTTTATATCTCGTTATATTTTCTCGCTTAATAATTCGCTTAATAACTAGAGCTGAAAAAAAATTACACCAGCCGTTAATAAAATGTTGGCTGGTAAATTGTTTCTTCTTGTTTGATTTTAAAATTAGCAATAATTTTTAATGTTGGCTAAAAGGCTTTTTACACTTTTTATCATAATTAAAAATTTCTCCAAAAATGCTGAGTAAAAGCAATTGCTTTTTTTATTCACCTTTTATTATCTTATCTCAACATCCTTTTAAAAAAACAGTTTTTACTGTTGAGGGGGGTTCGGTGCTTCTCGCTTATAATATTATGTAAACGTAGTATAATATTTTTTTTCAAAAAAAGTCAACTTAAATGTCTCTAAAGTTTAATTTTTTTAAAAAAAAATGTGTTTATTTAGTTATTCAAAACAGTTTTAATCCATTGGGTACGAAACTTCCTGCAACTCTCTCTGGTTGTAAACTTTTTTTTTGACATCAAAACCACTCAGTAATTTTTTTGCAAACTTTTATGATTCTACATACATGTTCTTATATGCCGTTAAAACGGCATATAAGAACATATAAGAACCGTTTGCCGTTAAAACGGCAAACGGTTCGTAAAATGTATGTTATTTTGGCAAACGTTACGAAAAAAACTAAATGTAAATATGTAAATATTCGTAAAATTAAATATAAATATCTAAATATATTTTTATATAAATAAAAATATTTAAATGATTTAAATGATTTTTATAAAGGATCTCCCAATCTCTGAAAATGGTTATTTGCATGTCCAAAATGAATATCCGTCTCCACAACAGACGTTGCTAAAGAAAAAACACGAGATTAAAATTTTGCTTCAGTACGACAAGCAAAGGTAATTATTTCAAAGCTAAATAATTCTTAAATACTACTTTATATTATTTTTGTTTCATTATTATTTTAGATCCATTCTAAAACTAATTATAAAACATTTGGATAGTAAAACAAAAGGCAAAATTAACTCATCCGAAACATACGTAGACGTACAAGTTTCGCCTTATCGTTTTCGAACTTATAGAAATCCAGGATATCGTCGGCCAGTGCGAGCAGTTATAAAAAAGAGTATAGAATTTAGACTTGACCGATTGGAACTTAAGACGACATATTTATTAATATTTTTGCTGCGTTATGACCCGTTCTCTCGACTAAAAGTTGACGGCGAGGTAACTTTTAAAATGTCTGAAATATTATCTGAAGGATTTATTGAGGGATGTCAAGTGGAGCTTGGTAAAGAGTTTGTTCAAAGTAAGCAGGAATTTACAGCTTTTATATTTAGGCCCAAATAAACGAGAATTTTTAACGAAAATTTTTTTTCTCAAAACACATAAGTTTCTATTACATTTTGGGCGTTTGACAGGTTTTTATATTCGTTTATACTCGTATTTGATATAAATTTTCATAAAACCAAAAGATAAATACATTTTTTATTCAAATAACGCTAATACTCAAGGATTGATACAAGTTGGAACGTATCTATCAAAGATATCGGACTTGAATTGCTCTAATTAAATTAAAAGAAAGCAATAATAAAGCAAAGAAGAATAACCTTTGTTTTACAAGAGAAGTTTTTTCAAAAATTTTTATCTCTTGGTTATACAAAGGAATGTCTATAAACTTTAACAAATTTAAATGTTTTAAAAAAGGTTTAGAAATCGAAGTAAAAATTATTTTTTTTATCTTTCTTATTTATTTTTACTATTTTTATTTTTCTATTTTTTTCGATAGCAAAATTTTAATGAAAATTCAATATAAAATACTATTTATATTATTAACTATGATGAACATTAATTTATAAACCTTACCCACTGTAAATCATTTTATGTTCCGTGTTTGATTTGTGCATATAAATAATGTGCATAAGAAATTATTAAAAACAATGACTTTTAGTAAAAACTAATCGATCCCCAAAATTCCCCAAAAGCTTTGACGAAGCTTACCGGAATTGTTGGCACTCCAAAGCTAAATTTAAATTAAATTTAACTACTCATCGAAATACTTTTGCTCGAATACTTTTAAGCCATTTTATACTCAAGCTGGAGGGTTTTAAAAAAACAGATCTTTTAATAATTTTTTTAATTGCATATGAGCGCGCAGGGTCTTATCTATCTATTCAAAAAAGTTTAAAAAAAATCTGTTTCAATGAGTTCAATGTTTACAATGAATTGTTTTTGGATTATTACTTGTTGACTAATTTGTTTGTTGTCTCTGGTGCGCGTGCGCAAGAAATGTTTATTACAAAAATCTGTGGCTTGCATTTCAAATTTTTGTTTATTTTTCATTACGCTAATTCAATTTTTTGGTTTGAATTATTAATATTGTTTTTTATGTGAGTGATTTAGAGTCTAAATTTTAGTCTCTTTCGATGAAGTTTAATTGAAAAAGTCTAAATCAGAAAAAGTCAATGACAGGAAATTTGCTGACGCTAAAGATAGAATAGAGTGTGTTTTACACAATATCTTATAACAACACCAACATCAATCAATACAGTTTAAAATAATAATAATCTTAATTGAAAAATTCTTCATATTTGTTATTGTTATCAGCTTTCTATACTTTCTTAACGATGTTGCGCACGCAATTACTAAGGTTTCTAAACTATTAGGTCGGACACCACAATAAAAGTAAAAAAAAAACAAAAACGAAGTAGCTTTTTTAAAAACAATAACTAAAAAATTTCATTTTAAATTTTTATAATTTTTTATTTTTTTAGAGCTTGATTTTTATGATATTTTATCTTAAAATGTTTGCCAATTATAACTAAATGAGTTAGCCAAACAGATTTATGAATGTTGAGCTACGGTCCCCCTCGGATTTCCTGACCATAAATTATGCATAATTAAAACTTAAAATATGTTCTCTGATCTTATATTTCTTTGATTTGTTTTTTCTAATTTTGTTGAACTGTATTTTTTAGTTTGAAAATATGAAATATTTTATTGATGCGATTTTATTGATGACAAACATTAAAAATTAACAAACAAAAGACAAAATAACTGACGATTTCTTATCGTACTATAGAAAACTACAGCAACGGAATTAAATAAATAGGTCCTATTGTAACACGAATTATACTTATCGCTCCTGTTTTTTTCCCACATACCTCTTACGAATTGTATTAAACGACGTTTTCGAGGTATGTCTTTAAAAAAGATTATTTCGTTGAGTGAATTTTTTTTTTCAGAACTTTTGTTGGTAAAACATTTGGATATGTAAAATATATTATGCAGAAATACATTTAGGAAGAGTATCGAACATCCATCGAAATATCACGGTATTGTGTAGACTGGTAAACAAAATCGAATTTTCTCAAAGAAATATTATTGGTACCACAGACTAATTGAATTTAATAAAAGATGATCGAAGACGATTGTATGGAAAAAGGAAAGTTATGGGGAGGCAGATTTACAAGCAAAGTTCATCCAGACATGAATCGTTTTAACTCCTCAATTAATATAGATAAGCGATTATGGGAAGAGGATTTGCTAGGTAGTGTAGCGTATGCAAAAGGATTAGTTAAAGTTGGTTTATTAACTGAAGAAGAAGGAAAATTGATATGCGAAGGATTGGATACCGTTGCAGCAGAATGGTGTCAAGATAAATTTATTTTAAAGCCATCTGTTGATGAAGATATTCATACCGCAAATGAACGAAGATTAAAAGAATTGATAGGAGATGTTGCTGGAAAACTGCATACTGGTCGCAGTAGAAATGACCAAGTTGCAACTGATACGCGTTTATGGCTCAGAAAAGAAATTTTGAAAATTAAAATACTATTAATAAAATTAATTGAAACTTTTCAAAACAGAGCTGAAAAAGAGATTGATATTTTAATGGCAGGCTATACCCATTTACAGCGAGCTCAACCTATCAGATGGAGTCAATGGTTGATGAGTCATGCATGGTCATTTAAATATGATGCAGATAGATTAACTCAGTTATGTGAAAGAGTTAATGTCTCACCATTGGGTTGTGGTGCTTTAGCAGGCAACCCATTTGGTATTGATAGAGAGTTTTTAGCAGATGAATTAGGCTGTATTAGTGTTACAGATAACAGCTTGCATAGTGTTGGTAATCGAGATTTCATAATTGAATTTATGTTTTGGTCTAGCTTGGTCATGATTCACTTTAGTAATTGGGCAGAAGACCTTATTATTTTTAATACAAAAGAATTTAATTTTATTACTCTAGCAGATGCTTTTAGCACCGGAAGTAGTTTGATGCCACATAAAAAAAATCCTGATAGCTTAGAGTTAATTCGTGGAAAATGTGGACGGATTTTTGGTAATTTTTCAGGGCTTATGATGACCTGCAAAGGACTGCCTAGTTCGTACAATAAAGATCTACAGGAAGATAAAGAATGTTTGTTTGATACAGTTGATAAATTAAAAGAAATATTAACAATTTCTAGAGACACCTTAGAATCACTTACATTAAATAAAGAAAAATGTCTTGAATCTTTAGATTCTAGTATGCTTTCAACAGATTTAGCTTACTATTTAGTTCGAAAAGGATTACCTTTTCGTGAAGCACATGAAATTGCTGGTAAAGCAGTTATTTTAGCAGAGAAAAAAGGTGTTGCTTTAAATAGTTTAACCCTTAGTGATTTGACAACATTACATGGAGTTTTCGATATTGATATTGAAAAAGTTTGGGATTATGAATCAAGTGTTAATCAGTATACATCAACAGGAGGTACGAGTAAAATTCAGGTGTCAAAACAGATTCAAAAACTTCAAAGTTGGCTTTTGCAAGTATAATATAAACATAGATATTATAAATATCAGTGTTTGCCAAAATAGTTATTTATTTCACAGATTTAATAAATTTATAATTATTAAATTGCTTTTTTTTTAAAAAGTTTTGAACAAACAGTTAAATTAGAGTTTTATCAATAGTGCCCCTAAGAGAAGCTTTACCAATTAATCTTTTGTTATTGTATATAACACATACATTCACCATTATATGCCATATTTTATACTGTTTTTTTTATAAATAGTATAAAATATAGCCTATAATAATGAAATAAGAATATAATAGAAGCCAAAATATTGGTGTATAATCATTTTAGTTAATATGTAAAAATTTTACAAACAATGTTAAAATAAAATCCTTGCTTTGTTGTTAAAATGTTATGAATTTTTTTTATTATTATTATTATTTTTTTTTTTTGCAATAAATTTTAAAGTTTACTGTTAAATGATAAAAACACAAAAAAAAGTGCCATTTTTTTCTTATTTTTCTTTTTTCTAAAGCAATTTTATGTAAAAGTATTCATTTTATTGTGCTTTAATAACTTTAAAATTTAATTTTATAATATAGTTTTTACCATAGTTATTACCAGCACAAAACTTTTTCTTGAATCACATCTTTTGAAAATTTAGTAAAGTTTATAACAATTTTAAAATTATTTTACTTGTCAAAAACCTTTGTTTATATCTCATATGTTTTTTTCTTTGTTTTGTTGTTGTTGTTGTTGTTGTTGTTATTATTATTTTTTAGGTTTATAAATATATAAAATTACAATAATGAGAAAGTCTGAAAAACTGAGGGGTAATTTTTTATTATTTTTGTTTTCAAATTTTAATATTCATGAATCAAAAACATCTGTATTATATTAAACATTTATTACATTATTTATTTGTATCTATTATGCTTTTGTTTTGTTTGTTTTAGAAATTTTAAGAATTTTTATAACAAATAAAACTAAATTTCAATAGTAGTAATATTCAATAGTTGTATCAAATATGGTATAAATTTTTTTTAACTTGAAGTTGAAAATATTTTTGCAAGGTCAAACAAATATATATATATATATTTTTTTTTTTTGTAATGTTTGCAAAACAGCTTAAGTGATTTATGTAAGAGGTGCTACAAGCTCTCTTTGAGTATTAAAAAAAATACATTCCTTAACATATAGATAAGTTTTAAATTACTTGATATGTCAGATTAAACAATTGAAATCATCTGAAGGTATTTGTACTTTAAAAAAGTATTTTACAAAAGAAAGAAAATTATACATAATATTTACTTTTAACTCTTTATTTTTTGAATTTTTTTTTTTAAGTTGTCACCTGAGTGAATGGAAGCAAGTAGTGAAATTTCTGCAGCAATATTAGCATTGCTCAGCATTGGATTTGTCATACTTTTTGGATACATGACAGTCTATTGTTATATACAATGGCATAAAAGAAACAAAGTTGAATCAGATTTAGGTGAAAGTTGGCTAGATGCTGAAAGAAAACCTTTAATACCAGGTCGGTTCCATGCACAGGGAGTTCAGCCTTATGGTCCAGATGATGATGTAAGAGTTGTTCTAACTTTTTGTTTTGTTTCTTTTGTGTAAACTTTGTATTTTTTTATTTAGTTATTATTTTATTTGCTTACTGTTTTGATATGTTATTATTTTAAGTTTATCTGTTCAAATACAATTTTAAAGTATCTAAAAAATGTAACAATTCAACCATTCAATTCTCTTTTACTTTTGTTTGTATTAAGAATTATTTTTTTAACTTTGCATAAATGATTAGGTCTGACTTTATTAGTTGTCTAGATTTGTTTGTTGAAATTAAAGTTAAGTTTAAGTTCAAATAAATATAATATTTTACCTTTATCAGGCAATATATTAGTTTTATAGATGGACTTGAAACTTTTGCTTTGCTTGTGTTAATTTTTTGTTTGTTTTAAATTTATTCAAAGATAGTTTGAGTTTTTTGATCATTGGATTTATTTTTTTAATCATTTAGTTTTTACTTCTTTACTTGTTTCATTTTTATGAATGTGGTTTTGTACGTTGCAAATACTATTTAAGAGTAATATTTTTAAACTTATCAAGATTGTTTTTTTATAGTTGTTTTTTATTTTAAATTACTGAATAACCAAGTTATACAAATTACTGAAATTTTTCTTCAAGACAAAATATTTTTTACAACAAAGAGTTTTTACAGAATAAGCATAAAAGATAAAGAGCAGGAAAACAGTCAAAAAATATTCAAGTTTAAATTTTTTTTTTTTTTTTTTTTTTTGATGATATGTTTGAAGTATATTTGTTCAGTAACTAATATGTAATAGCTAATAATTATATTTAATATAATATTAAAAATCAATAAATGTTTTAAAGAATTTCTCGAAAATATATTTAAAACTTTACTAGGTTTTTAAGGTATTTTGGTATAAAATTAAATTGGCTTTTTTTTTCTTAATGTTTATTAACATAAAACTAATATTATATTTCTATGTTTTTTATAACTTTTGTTAAATTTTATTGTAGCTTTATTTTGCCATCAAACATCATATAGTAAATACTTACTGACTTACTTTACTAAAGCTGACTTACTTTATTAAAGCTAACATACTTTACTAAAGCTGACTTACTAATGTTTACAAAGCATTTGACTTACTTTATTTTGCCATATAGTAAATCAAAATAAAATGCAAAAGGGAATTAATCAGATTGAAATAATACGAACATGATGTAAAGTTCTATATATTTGTGACCTTGGCTGCATAAACATTTATACATCCTCAAGTACAAAATTTATTTTTAAATTCATGTTATATTTTGTATATATATGCTTATATAAACATTATGATCAATCATCATTACCGTCATCATTATCATTATCATCATCATCATCATCATCATCATCATCATCATCATCATCATCAACATCATTATTTTCATCATCATCATTATCATCATCATCAACATCATTATTTTCATCATCACCATTATCATCATCATCATTATCATCATCATCATTATTATTGTCATCTTCATCATCATCATCAGCAGCAGCAGCAGCACCAGCGAGCTTTAGCCTTCCTTTTTTATGCTGTTCCTCTAATGATGGTCAATGCTCAAACAAGCTATTATCTCTATTACAATAAACCAAAACTCATTCTTGCTTTCAACAAGTTGCATCTTTTTACTGTATCTGTCTGTATTTATTAAGTACTGGTATAAATATATGTCAGAATTTAATAAATAAACAACAACAACAGCGACAACAAAATATTTATTCTCCTTTTCAAATTAAACAATAATATTATAACAATAAAAATTTAATAATAATTTGAAAAAAAAAAAATCATAATTATATTGATTATAGTAAGTTAAAATAACTGATTAATACATATATATATATATATATATATATATATATATATATATATATATATATATATATATATATATATATATATATATATATATATACACACATACAGGGCTTAATTGAACAGTCGGACATCGGACATTGTCCAGCTAAAACCTCAGATTGTCCGATCAATTTACAAAGTCATCAGACATTTTGTCCGGCGGGATTTTAAATACTTTAAAATAAAATTTTATTCATTGATTTGAAATTGACAAAATTAAACTTAATGTAAACTATTAGACAAACTTATAAAATATGTTGATAATGGAGGCATTCATTCCCAAAAACAAGCACTGTTATTAATTGTAGTTTTAATGACTGTTCTTTAACAGTTTTATTGTTATATTATTAAATTTAAAATTATTGCTTATTTAAAATGATCGCAAAATGGATATTATAAAATGCGAATAAGCAAATTAACTTTGAAAAAGTGCATAATCTAAGAAATGTTGCATTATTGGATTCTGTTGATATTTCAATTATGTAAAAGTTTTTTCAAGAAGTCAAAAGATAAGATTATAATAATGAAAAGAAGCTTAAAAAAAAAGTTTAATTATATCAAAATGGGGAAAGTTGATGTAGCTAAATATTTTTTTTTTTTTTTTTTTATATAGAGTGAATAAACTCTCATTGAAAAAATGTTTTGTTTTACAAAGTCAAAGTATGTTTGATTGATTACTGCAAACGCCGTGGATACCGAAAAGTAAAGAAAAGCTGGCAGTTTTAAAAATTTGATAATAAAAGATTTTACAAATGTGTTTTTTCAGAGGCTGAGATCTCATCGATGGAATATTAAAAAAAAAAAAACATTAAGAAGATACATTTAAACATTTACGTTATGATCATCCAAATCATCCTATTTTAGCTTGAGCGGTTTCTCGATGGCATCCTAGTCCTACTCGAGTTTTCCAATTTTTTATTCATTATTCGTTTTTATTTCTATAAAGATTGTAATATATATATATATATATATATATATATATATATATATATATATATATATATATATATTCATATATATACATAAAAGATTAAAAAGTTCTAGCTTTATAAAAGTTGTCTGCCAAAGAAGGAGTGCCTTTTTAAAAATTAGATAAATAATAACTTGTAGAACTCATAAAATTTTCTTTGTTGAATTGATTGAATTTTAATGACACTCAGCGCGTGGAATTTTCAAATTAAATAATAGCCCTCAAATATCATATTTCATTTGATTTAACCGCCTTTAAATAAATAAAAGCGAAGTTTAAATTTTATATATAAAGTTTAAAAATAATATGTTTATCTTAATATTTAATATATTTAAGACATTATTATACTATATTACTATAACAAACTTGTTTCCTTGCCGTTTTTATTATTGATAAAAATAGTTACATGAACGCCATATAAATACCTTTTTGGCGCTAAAAGTGACACCTAGCATATTATATTTTGTTAAGTAAAAAAATTTACATAACTTTTATAAACGGGTAATGCAATTCAATGTAAACTAACAAGGTTTTCGAGAGAAAAAAGCTCAATAAAACTTCAAGTCTATCTAAAAAAATGCGCAGTATTGAATTTAAACTATTTCAATTAAATTAAAAAGATCTACGATGATAAAAATTCTGAATATAAAGAAAAAAAACTACAACTTCACTAGCCTAAAATAAAATAAACTGGGAAAACATAACATATATTTTGATTGGATAATTGGGTTCTGTAAAACTCAGATACGCCAGTAGCTAGTCTAAGAAAACCCATCTTCAGTATTTTTTTACTATCGGCATTTAAATAACTATCTTTTTCCTGTGTTCCTTTTAACTGAATATATGTAAATATTTGTGAAAATTATTTGTTCAAATTTTATTTCAAAAATTTGATCGAACAATGTCCGACCAAAATAACTTTTGGTCGGACATTTTGTCCGGGACCTTATAAAAAATTAAATTAGGCCCTGTATGTATGTATATATATATATATATATATATATTATATATATATATATATATATATATATATATATATATATATATATATATATATATATATATATATATATAAATTAATATAATAATGAGTAAATTAATTATAAGTATTTAATAATAATAACTAAATGATTGATAAGAATGGTGTCATTCAAACAGAATTCTGATCAAAGGAGTGACACCAGTTTTTAAATAAAATATGATTAATAATAAGTATACACACATAGAACATACATAAACAAGTAAAGTTTTAAAAAACCATACTTTGATGATAATAATAAAAAATAAACAAAAAAGAATTTAATAATAATAGTTGCAGTAATCATAATTTAAAAAAATAAGAGTATATTTTAAAAATTAAGTGAAAATCATATCAATAAGTTAGAACAAAATTGTTTTCAGAATTTTTTTAAATTGGTTTTGTGTAAGATTAAGAAAAGATAAAGGTGTTTGAAGTTGTAGTTTTTTGAACTCATTCACTATGCATACAAGACTCTTGTTCCATTCACAAATGCACTTATAGACAACATAATGTTTACCATACTTCTGAGTTTAAACGATGGTACATTAAGTTTCCCATTATATATGTTATATTCTAGTAGAGTATGTATGTATTATTCTACTTTCTGTAAAAAAAAGTCTGTTATAGAAGAGGGAAAATTTTTATAAAGAGAGTCAAAACCAAAAAGAAGATTAGCAAATTTTACAAGCGCTGGAAAGGTTGGAATTTTCAGTTTTTTAAAAGACTCTGATGTTTCTGACTTTAAAATATTGGAAGTTTATGATTCTTATGGATTGAGAAGACATCAATTTTTTGATGAGATTGTTGCCATTTTGAATAGTAATTAAGATGCAATAAAAGTAATGCACACTAAATATTCCTTAGTTTGAATTTATCGACATAATGACGAATTATTGAAAGTGCGCCATTAGCTCGAGTTGGTTTTATGTGTAGCTCATCGATATGAAAATTCCATGAGAGATTGTAGTCAATCAAAACACCGAGATATTTGATAACTTTGTAGTATATAACCATTCATTATTAATTTTGTTTAGATTGTGTTTTTTTCTTGAAGATGAAAAAAAAATCAGTTCAGTTTTTTTTTTTACGTTAAGATATATTAAGTTAGCATTTAACCAGTGAACAATACCTTTTAGATCCGAATTTATGTTTTTACATAGAGAATTATAAGATTTGTTAATATGCAATAGGTTTGCATCATCAGCAAAAAGATGAATTGACAAAAAGCGTATAGAGTTGTTTATATCATTAATATAAATTAAGAACAAAAGAGGACCAAGAACAGAACCTTGAGGAACATCGCACACAACAGATTTATTAGTAGAATTATAACCATTAATACTTACAAATTGTTTCTGATCTGTAAGATAAGATGGAAACCAGTCACTTACAACACCACGAATACCAC